CTTCATAAGATTTTTTTTTTTTGATTATTCCTGCAAATTTCCGTAATTCCAGTCAACCGTCTGATACTTAACTACTAGCAAACAGAGGCGGACAAGTAATATAATTTCTTTTCGTTGATGATAATCATCTTCCACGATCTATTTCTCTAACTTTTGTATATTTATATATATTTCTGCAAATGTAGGTTCCTACCGCTACCACTAAAGTAACAATAGTGAATCCATCTGATTCCCGAAAAATGGTGGAGCAGTTTAATGGACAGGTGACAAATATTCTCTCTTTAGTTAATAAAAAAGTTCTAAAAAAGTTGTAGAGTATATTAAATTATTAAATAAAAATAAATATTTTAATATTAAAATTATTTTTCTTCCAATAATTTAACTAATTTTACTGATATTAGATGCTCTCTCCATCTCATGCTTTTGTTTTCCTAGTTTGGGAGCAAAACAAAAATTTAGAAATTAAAAACAGAATGCTATTTTACTGGACAGATTATATACCGTTTGTCTTGTAAAATTATTTAAATGTTTTTTAAAAAATAATATAAAATAAATTTTAAAAATATTTATGTAATTTTACAAGATAAATTATATGTAAAATAATTTTTTAAATTAAAAAACTGTAAAATATTAGTCATTAAATTAAGGGAGACTAGGCCTTAGGGACAGAACCAAAAACAGCTCGGTGTTCCTACAACGTCCCTTCAATGAAGTCAACCATGGCTTTTCCTTCCCTATTATCTTTCCTTTCAAAAAGTTCATTTTTCCTTTACCTTAAGGATTTTTCTTTCTTTTTGGTGCAAGTATATTTAGTTCATCATTATCTTTATTGTTCACTGTAAGCATGTTCTGATTTCATAAAAATAAGGACAAACTAAATATTATTTGCTAACATTATATGAATGCAGCAGCTTGAAAGTGACATAACTGAGGAACTCGGCATGCCAGTATACATAGAAACAAAGGATGAATCGCTATTTAGTGTTGAAAGATGCACCAATATGAGCTCCAGTCAAGGTGGAGTGCTGACAGAGATACCAGAAGGAGACGAATGGATTGCTCCAAATATCTGTGCAATTGTTTGTAAACCTGTTCTCCCAGAATCTCCAAACTGCCCATTTCTGGTTGCTCTGTCCTTGGAAGGAAGCAAAGCTCTTATGGCTATCCCTTCGTCGTTCTTTGAGCACATGCCTGTCCTTACACGCTTGAATTTGTCTCATACTAGTATCAGATCTTTGCCTGTGTCTCTTTTCAAGTTGGTTTCACTTAAAGAACTCAGTCTAAGGCACTGCAAACTCTTCATGGAATTGTCACCACAAGTTGGACAACTTTATAATCTTGTTTTGCTAGATCTTGATGAGACTCAGATTGCGGAATTGCCAAAGGAGATTGGAAAACTTTCTAATCTAGAAATTTTGAGATTATCCCTTGATGGATACATGAATTGTGGAAAGCAGTCGCAGGAAAATGTATTAATTCATCCTGGGACCATTAAAAGGCTTTCGCAGTTGATGGAATTAAAAATTGATGTGAATCCAGAGAATGACGACTGGAATGCAGTTGAGGAAGTTGTTGTAGAGGAAATCTGTAGCCTGGAAAGATTGAAGTGTCTCATATTATACCTGCCAAATATTCAGATTTTGGGAAAACGCAGAACAGGTGGCTCATCACTGGATTATTATCCCTTGTGGAGATTCAGGTTTACTGTTGGGCAGCATAGACAGCGTATCATCTCTCGAGTGCCTAAAAAAGTTGAAGCTCACTTTCAAGAGTGGGACAAATGCTTGAAATTTGTAAAGGGCAATGATATCTCAAGTGGGATGAAAAGGGTAGCTGGATACACTCAAGCATTCTACCTTGAATGTCATTTCACTGCTAGAAGCTTGTGTGATTTTGGGATTGAGAATATTGAAAAACTAGAGTTCTGCTTATTGGCAGAATGTAATGAAATCCAGACAATCATTGATGGTGAAAAGCCTTATGAAGAAGAACAAATCAATATGGTTGAAGATGAGGCAACCAATTATGAGTCCAAAGGTGGTTCATTTTCTTCTCAACAACTTATACTTTTGAATCTACAGTACTTGTATATCTATTACCTGAAGAATTTAGTAAGCATTTGGAGAACCCCCACATATGATAAGCGGTGTCTATCTGGCTTAAAGGTCCTAGAACTCCATGTGTGCCCCAAATTGAGTGTCATTTTCACACTAGCTTTGCTTACTAGTCTTGGCAAGTTGGAGGTGCTTGTTGTTGAAGACTGCCCTGAATTGACGAGTGTTGTAAGCCCAACAAGCAATGCATCCTTTAAGTCTGCAAAAGATTGTTTTCTACCTAGCTTGAAGATGGTGTTACTTCTTTTCCTTCCAAAATTGGAAAGCATTTCTAGTGACTTTCTCATTGCACCAAAACTGGAAAAAATAGGCTTTTATGATTGTCCAGAGCTTAAGGGTCTTTCCAAAAGGGAAATGTCAAGTAAAAATTTGACATTGATCAAAGGAGAAAGAGAGTGGTGGGAAGCATTGGAGTGGGATGAGTCAGATTGGGAGTGTCGGCCTGATTATCTCCATAGCATTTTCTCCCCAATTGATGAAGATGATGATGTGATGACACAAATGGAAGAGATGTGCGAGTCATTCAAGCAATACAACAAGAATGGCCATTCCAAACCCTGGTAATCTTCTGTTCAACTGAAGGCATTCTTTTATTTAATGTTTCCTTGTATCAGTAGATTTGTATCTGGGCTCAATTTGCAAAACAACGGTGCTTTTTTAATTTGTTCAATGTCTGTTGCTAGTGTACTCTATTTATCACATGCTAAATGACATGATATGAGGAGTTAAACTAGGAATGAAATGTTCTAATGATTTTGTGCTCCTTGAAGTTTTACAGAAGCTGTTTTAGTAGAAATTGATTCAGAATATTTTACATTTTTTTGGACTATGATTACTCTATGTTGATTAGTGGCAGGTCTTGGACCAAACCGTAAACCTAGGATCCAGATGCAGAAGCATGACATTGGTGCTGTTGGTTGCTCAGATCTCAGATTAAGTCACAGAGGCGGTGCTGAATTTAAGTCTCTGAATTTGGCTGATAGTTTGTTTTCTGTTAAGCAGTGTTTAACCTTGCAATTAGCATGTCTTTGGAAATTATGGGATCTAAGCCTACTGCTTGATATTGAGGGCATATTTTTAAGAGATGTTTCTTAATGTAGACTCTATGTCACGAGGATTAGCAAGACAGGCTATATATTGCTGTATAAATATTTTTACTTAATTTCCTCAATTTAGCCACCTTTCATGCTCTATATTTTGAAAGATTTCATGTGGAATGACTTTTAGTGGTTTGTTTATACTAAAAGAAAATTATTTGTGAAATTAGGATACAGGACTTTTAATATAAGATTTATATCTAATTTTAAATTAATTGATACTAAATAAAATAATTTTTTTTTATATTTAACTCACATGTTTATTTTATTGAAAAGAACTTCTTATCTCAAAAAATAGTACAGAGCTAAAATGATTTTTATTGAAACACGTAGGAGTTAAAGTTTTTAAGGGAGCGAAAATTAGATGAGGGGAAATGGAGAGAAACTCAAAATGAAAGAAATGGGGAAGAATGAATTTTGTAACAACTCCACTCTTCATTAGAACCAGTGTCAACTTAGTCGTCAAGATAATAGAGAAAAATTAGAGAGTGCATAGCAGTAGCAGCTGAAAGCGTGAACAGTGCTGCAGCATGAAATGAAGGTTAACAAAAGCTGAAGAAACACTGATCTAGAGAAGACTTTACTGAATTGAATTACAGGAAGTGAAATACATCAATGACAATACTTAAATCAGAATAAACAATAACTAGACTAGAGTTTGTGGCAGCATATAGCCAAGAACTAAACTAAGAAAGCTACTTGAGAAGTGTAGAGTTATGACATTGAAAAGAGATGACAGCACTCGGCTGGTTTGAGAGGGGCAGGCATGCCTCATTTGGCTTCATCTCTATGCATTTATAGTGCAAAATGTCCACTGGTATGTTGGAGATCCCAAAAGACATGTTGAAAATCCAGGGCATTACGATGAAAATCTTGCAGCAGCATCCATAAAATCTGCAACAAACAAACTATTTTGTTGCGGCTATTGTAATAACCATTCAGATTAAATTGAGAGGAAAATCAACAATTTAACTTGACTTGATAAAATTGCCACATGGCAACTGCTGGCAGCACCATGTATACATGTTTTGACTCATCAAAGTTAAATATGTTGCCATCCCTTGATCCACTTATAATTATTTTTAAAATCTTACACTTAAATCATCAACTAAATGATATAATCAATAAATAAGATTTGTCAACATGGACGATATGAGGCAGCCATCAAGTGCTCAAAATCCAAAAGACTGCAAGTGAAAGTATCCACAAATTTAGAATAAATGGGACACTTGGTATGCTACCATTGATTTACAACAATGGGTGTAAACACCTTATCTTTGCTTTTGTTCTGCCAACAATCTATTCTATCCTTTTGGCCTTTTTGCAGGAAATTACAATGGAGGTCATTGAGGCCGCATTGGAGTCATCATCGGCTGAATTTGAACAAGGTGGTGGTGGAAAAGGGGAAGCAAAGAAGACATCGAAGGTTGAAGGGATGTCTGAAGCCTCCAACCAATCAAATCAAAGTGGCCATAAGCCCGTTCTGAGTCTTCTGACCGTCATAAAAAAGGAATGATGAGAGAGGAGGCACTTAAAAGATTACGAGAAAAAAGATGCGAACGAGTAAAATATTATTTCTCTCTATTAATTTTAATCATCTTCCATGATTTATTTCTCTAATTTCCTATCTTTCTCTATATTTCTGCAGATGAAGGTCCGTGTAGCCAGTACATGATTAATTCAAACGAATGTATCTAATTTACGAAAAATGGTGAGTCAGTTGACCAGGATGCCAATAGCTACCAATAAAGACGAGAAACCCATAAATAGACAGGGAACAATATTCTCTATGTATACACTTCTCTCCTCTTTTAAGATGGTAGGGAACAGTTCCTTTTTTGTGGGCGTGGTAACAATTTGAAGATAAATAGTCAAGTATAGAAAAAAAAGAAAAAAAAAGAAAAAAAATGAGTGGCTATATAGTATGTTAGGACTTACAAAAAATTAAAGATTTTTCATTGTAAATTATATAATAAAATATAAATTTTATTATGTCTCAATTTATTTTACATATATATTATATTACTTGAATTCAATACTTTTTATTTATTAAAAATAATTATTATTAAATTATGTAGATTATTAAAAAAATTAAAATTTTAATTTTAAGATAGCATAAAATTATGCGACATATTGACCATTCAATCTTGCTTATTCTTTTTTTTTTTTTTTTTTTAACCTCCTAATATCCGGTAATCACTTTGAGTCCCGAGTAATCTGGAATCGAGCTGCGTCGGACCTTATTAGGGGAGAAGTTTTCCCAGTGCCTGTTTCTCCTTTCACAAAACTCGAACTCATGATTTTACTTAAAGAGAATCGAGCTCTTTCCACTCAAACTAACAGATTGTTGATTTCAATCTTGCTTATTCAAAACGGAAGAGAACAACTGAACCAGTACCATAGGTCATTTGTCTTTTTTATGAATCCATAGGGTCATTTTCAGTTCCAAGGTAGGATTCTTTTTTCTTTTTTTTTTAAATCAGGGAAAATTTTTGGTTAAGTGAGAAATAATATAATTATTTCAATAAAAATTTAAATTTTAATATGAATTAAGATATTTGATGTGCATTATCAACTTAATACCAGTTATAAAGAATATGATTGCTAGCAAAAAAAAAAAAAAAAGGGTGTTATGACTTATGAGTGACGGTTACTTCTCCAAACTTCTAAAAAATTAAGTACGTTAAAGAAAAAGTGGGACAAAGAGACCATTTTTTTCTGTTTAATTTTGAACAGAAGCAATGGTTGGGAGAGGGGGAAAGTTGGTCGAAGGGAGGCTGGGGGTTTGAACCACAAAAAGCCTTAATGTTCCCGCAACATCCCATCCTTCATGAAGTCAACCATGGCTTCTTCCCTCCCTGTTATCTTTCATTTCAAAAAGTTAAAATTTTTCTTTACCTTCTTAAGGATTTTTCTTTCTTTTTGGTGCGAGTATATTTAATTCATCATTATCTTTATTGTAAATAATAATAAAAGTATTATTTAGTTTTATTTTTTTATTTTTTATAAATATTTTATTTGTTGTTTGATCTTAATTTTAAAGTAATTGAAATGCAAAATTTGAAAGAATTTATGTTCTTATTTAACTTTAATTTTTTAATTTTTTTGGACTTCCTTTAGTTCTTTAATTAAAAAAATTATTGTATAAATCTTTGATTAATAGAATGGTAAAAAAAAGAGAATATATTTATTTGGTTTATAAAGATTAATATTGAATATTTTTATAATTTTATTAATATATTTTTTAATGTGGTTCTATATACAACTTTAAAAATGATCTTATTATCAAACGCAATTAGAATCTTTTGACTAAAAAATCATTATAAAATTTAAGAATTAATAAAATACAATATAAAATCCAAGCTCTAATATGAAAAACTAAAGTATAACCTGTGCAACACATAAAAAAAAAAAAAAAACTAGTTATTATATATTTTGCGTTGATCCAACTTTAATAGAAATGCATTCAACAGTAATATTGAAAAAACATAAATTAAAGAAATTAAAAACATACATTTAACTAATGACGAAGAAAAATAATTTAAATTTAAATTTAAATAAAAAAAACCCAAAAATGAAAATTTTAAAATAAAAAATAAAGATATTCGTATTTTTATTCTAAGTAGGGTTTAAAAATTGAAAATACACTATGTATTTTATTTATTTAAAAATAAAAGAATAATAGATTTAATAAGGATGATTTAAAAAAAAGAAGAAGAAGAAGAAGAAAAGCAATTAGAATAAAATAAAAAATAATTATGATCAATATGAAAATTAAAGAGGCAAAACATGCAGACTAATCCCATCATTTTGAGAGGTACAGATTACCCCCTTAACTGAATTTGCACGCTCAAACTTACAGTTGGTGGCAAAATAGCCCTTGTCTAACGGATTACGTCAACAATCCATACAAGATTAACGATAGGCTGATTTGTCTTTTTCTGAAAATAGGTAATGGAGATAGGCTGATTTGTCTAGGTTCAACTCGCGAGGTGAAATTTTTTGCTGACATGTCACTCCATCACCTGATCAAATTTAAATTGAAAAACAATACTTAAGGAAATTCTTAAATTAATCTTCAACGATTTTAAATTTACAACTCAAACAAGAGTATATGTTGATTTCATCCTAAATCAACCAAAAGATAAACACAACTAATAAAAAAGATCAATATTATGATAAGAAGAGAAACAAACACAGAACTAGATAATAATAGAACTTTAAATAATGAATATTAATTATCATTTAACAAAAAAATAAAAAATCTTATCAAAATTGATAAGAAATTTATTAAAACCCCATAAATTAAGCCAGAGCATGAATTAACAAAATAAGAACATACTCTTCAAGTTCTTTAACCACAAATAAACAAAGGAAAATTTTGACAACGAATTGAAGTAAAAATAAGAGTTGATATCATTAGCTTATATGACTTAATCAAATAAGAAATTAACACTTCCTTTTAATTTGTTTAAAAAAAAAAAAGAATTTTATTAGAAAGAAATAAAGGGACCTCAACCTATTACATTTCATTTAAAGATAGAAAAAGATCTATACACCAAATTAAACTCAACACAGTTACACTTAGACAATTCATCAAATACTTAATGGACATAACCTAAAAAAATTTTAATTTTCAACTCTTAACTCATTAAAACCTAAATATTTGGCACCAATTATCAACAAGAGCAAATCAGATCATATATCAATAAAATCAATTATTAATCTCTTCAAACATGTAAAGAATATAGAATTTGGGTATGTAGAGTTAAAAGAGAAACAAAAAAAAACACCAAATATAGGCTTAACTCTTTTTTTTTTTTTCTTTTTTACAAATAGGCTTTGATTCTAATTAATCTTCTTTGTTGCTTCATCTTTGAGTTTAACCCGTTTCGAAATTGGAAGTTGTAGAGCTTCTAAAGAGAAAAAGAGCGAAAGAATGGGTGAAGTGAAAAGGGCTGACGGGGGAGAGCGAGAAAAAAGGAAGAATAAAAAGGAGAAGAAAATGTGCAAGCAAAAAATTAAAAAAGGAAAAAAACATGAAAAAGGTGCTTTTCATGTGATTAAATAATAAAAATAATTTAAAGATAATTTTTTATATTATTTTTTATATTATTTAAAAATTTATTTTTTTATTTATTTAAAATTCATAATATTAAATATGTCCACTTACATAATAAAATATAAAATTTATATAAAAAATAATATAAGCAAATTATCTATATATAACTACTTTTGTATATATAATCCGACGTGTCAAAACTGGTCCAGCTTGTCACCACATCATCTCCGCGTCCCACCAAATGCAGCCCATAGTTAGTATTGGATGGAATGCTGACGTAATTCGTTAGACAAGGGCTATTTTGCCACCAACCATGAGTTTGAGGGTGAGTTTGTGCACGAATTCAGTTTTGGAGTAATTTGCCACTGCTCGAAAAGATGAAGGGCTATTTGAATGTTTTGCCAATTAGAAATGCAAAGTATGACAAAGAAAGAACAATATAATAGAAAATAAATTATTAATATGTAGTAAAAAAAAAAAAGATGAATGTAGGATAGAGAGATAAATATGACAATAAATAATAAAAGTAAGAATTTTGAAAGATGAAGTCACAAGAAAAAATAATGAGAAAGGTGTAGTAAATGTAGTTGAAAATTATTCAAAAAATAATATTAAGAAGTTGTACCACTTATATTTAACTTAAAATATTATATATTTTTTTTTTTGAATAGCGTACAATTTGGGGGATGGGGAAAGGTAGTTTTCAAGACGGTGGTAGAGTTCGAAACTCCGACTATCTCATCCAAGTATCCAAGTACTTTAAGGATTTGGGTCAAATCATTAAGTCTAAAGGTCCGGTTTTAAAATATTTTTTATATCAAAGACAGAGAAAGAGAAATTTAAATAAAACAAAGATATATAATAATTAATGGAGGTGAGGAAATGGAAATGACTAGGAGATAATAGAAATAGGAGAATAGTGGGAGAAAAAAACAGTAACATATACAATGCTAATAGACAGAGGGAAAGAGAGGGGAATGTACGGTAAAAGGATAAATATAATGATAAAAATATGAGAGTTCTAACAAAAATTAAAGGGGGATGGAATGAATGTAAGTGTAGAAGTACCAAAAAATAATGCTAATCAGTTACAGTGTTTATGTTTTGACTTAAGATATTTGTAAGTGTAGACAACTACATAAAGAAAATTGAGGTAAAATATATATATATATATATATACAAGAATTGACTAGAATAAAATAACATCAATAGAAAAATAAGGGGAGAGAGATTAATAATACAGTTGTAGGATTTATATTTGTTTTAAGGCATATCCTACATAGTAGTATATGGTCAAGCATTAGTTGTACTAAATTAGTAAGTAAAAAATTAATTAGATGTTAATATCTCAATTACATGAAAATTAATAAAAATTGAGATTGTTGTATTAATGAATAAAATGCAAATATGCCACCATATATAGACTTTTTTATTTTATTTAATATATAAAAAGCCAATAATATTAATTAAAAATAATTATTTAAAATTTAAAATTAATATGATAATAATTAATAATTACTATAAAGAATAAATACAAACGAATTGCGAGTCTAGTTATGGATAAAAACATTAATTATCTCTAAATTTTTAATTTAAAAAAAAATTCAAAAAACGCACACAATTGATATGAATTGAGTATGAAAGAATAATTCTTTTTTTTTTTTACGTAAATAGTTTCTATCGACTAGCTTTCATTGATCTTCCCTTCATTTACAATGCATAAAAATGACGTGGTGCGTTCAGTGAACCAAAAGATGCTTTCTTTTTCAGTGAACAAAATCTCTCGGCTTTTTCAATTGGTCATCTTGGACTGGAGTTAGGGGTGGGTATCGGTTTGGTTTGGTTAAAATTGAATTTGAATTGATGGTTTTAATTGGTTGATTACTTTATAAAATAACAATCAAAAACCGAACCAAATAATATTTTGATTATTTGGTTTGGTCACTAAATTAATCAATTTCGGTTGACATCGGTTTCGGTTTTAACCAATTCTAACCTTAAGCCCTTGGCTAACTTTTTTTTTTTTTTTTTTGAGACTGGGCCTTTCAATTTGTGGCCCAACCCAAATATCCAACAAATGTTGTGATCCATTTCCTTTAATTTTATGATTTGGATATTTGGACTAATATCCAAAGTGGCAAAGTTAATAAACCATCACATTTCATAAGTCCAAAAAAAAAACATCAAAGTTGCTCAATTTTGTCATATTTCCTGCAACACATGGCTCATCAAAAGAAGTTTATCATGACCTCAATACTGCCAGCAAACTTAACACCATATTTATTTTATAAAATAAATAAATAAATAAATTTCATAACATTATCATCACCAACACCAACACATGTTGACAACAAGCTGACTCTTTTGCTCATCACCAATTTGCAGATCTGGGCACTGGCACATCCTCACTGTGTTTACCTCTGGCATCCTTCAGTGCCATGAATCAAAGATTGAAGATGACAGGAAAAATCGAAAATGGAAGGAGAAATCGGAGATGAGGGGAATGGTGATAGCATCATCGTCACCACTACCATCACCGATCTGTAGATCTGGGCACCATCGTCACCACCACCATCACCGATCTGCAGATTTGGGCACATCCTCACTGTTTTTGACATTCACTCACCTCTGGCCTCCTCCGGTGACCATGAATCAAAGATTGAAGATGAAAGGAAAAATCGAAAATGGAAGGAGAAATTAGAGATGAGTGGAAAGGTGAAAGCTTGGATGAGATTTGATGGTTCTAAGGCCATGGAATATGATGATGATGACCAGAGAAGAAAAGAAGATTTGCCAACGACGAATGGTTAAAGCAGAGGGAAAGGAATCTGTTTGGGGAGAGCAAAGAAATATAACAAAACACACACTATCTTCTGAGTTCAATTTCAAAAAGAAATCAAAACATTGATTCACTTTCAAAATATAGTACAATGCATGAGGAGAAAAAATAGAGAAAGAATTAGGGATTTTACCTACAGTGACAACTTGCCGATAAAAGAAGTATTACAGTGATGAAGAGAGCAGATGGTGTGTCTGTGTATGAACTTTGAGAAATAGAAGACGAGAGACAGAATCAAAATCCATAGGAAGAGTTGAAAAGGGAAAAAAAAAAAAAAACAAAGAGAAAGGATCCATAACAACTTACCAAATTCCAGATTAATCAAGAGCAACATGGAGACGAGTCGAAAGCCATATGGAGAGAGAAAGAAACGAGAGATCTAGGCTTTGATTTCAGATTTTTGGTGATGCACGGCAGAGATATGGCTGAATCTAAAGTAGATTGGCATTAGAGATGGATGATGAAGAGAGTTCACAATAAAGAGAGGATGAGATCTTGGCCGACTGTGAAAGGGAGTGAATGAGGAGAGGAAGTGAGAAAAATGAAAGTGAAAGTGAAATAAGAAGGAAATACTAGAGATTAACGATGAGTCCATTTGAAACTTTCTAAATGGGGGTGGAGGGAAAGGTTTTGGCAGAGAATCGAAGGGTGTAGGAGGCAGGTAGATGAAAATTTTCAGGAGAGGTTGGGAGGGAATGAACGAAATTTCTCAAATTAGGGTTTGTGTTGAATGCATATATAATATGTTTTATATTTTCTTAAAAAATAATGCGGGTTTTCAGGTTTAATATTTGGTTGTTCAGTTCTTGATTCTGGAGCCGAACACTGCACCGTTTAGAAACGGTTGAGGCTTGAAACTGCTGCTTGGGCACGAAAGCCATTTATGACCGCACTGCAAGCCCAATTTTGGTGCAATTGTCCGGCAACCGATCGGTTGCCCGCGTGCGTGCCCAGCCCTAACTGAAGCTCTCCACTTTTGACTCTCCGTTAAGGGTCGGTCTCACTCCGAGCCAAGCTAAATTCACCCACACGCACAAAAAATAAAATAAAATAAAATAAATAAAAAGACAAAAACATAGATATTTTTGCAGAAGTCTACTCTTTTAAGTCATCCCTGGCATGCCCCACTTTCTTGATTCGTATTTTAGGCTCTTGGCATTAACGTTGAAGCTTCCTGTAATATCAGAGGAAGCTCATGAAGAAACTACCCTTAGTACCCAAGTCACCGAGGCCAAACATGTATAAAACATCTGCAAAGTTATGGAGAATTGAGTTATAGCCTATGTTTGATATCCATATGTCTAATAGCAATTCTAGGCCATTGGACTCACCGGCAACTGAGCATGGAGATGACTCCAAATTCCGAGCTCCCAGGGGAGTACTTGATGTTTGATGGCCGGTGCATGGGAGGATTATCAGCCAGCTGCTATTGATTCCGGGTTCATCGGCAATCCTGTTAATCAAGTAAATATAGTTAATGAGACTGGTCGGATTAGCAGCTTCCATAAAGGACCAAATAACAGTAAGAAATCTCATTAGTTGGGTTCTTAATTAAGTTTTTCCATACTCGATCTATACATACAGGTAAATAATCATCTTCTTCTGGTTTTTCCATGCAGGAGAAAGTGTAGGTGGAAGGGTGGAGAAGAAAGTAAGGGAAAGAATTGCATTTAGAACACGGTCAGAGGTTGACATACCGGAGGATGGGTACAAGTGGAGGAAATATGGAAAGAAGAAGGTGAAGAACAGTCCAAATCCAAGGTAAGAAAATTGAGTTGTATAAAAAAATTTCAAACGTACTAATAAAAAAAAAGTCTTTTTTTTATTGAAAATTTATGAAATTCAAGCACTAAACATTGTTTTTTAATATTAAATGAGATTTTTTTATAATTGCTTAAATACAGAATAAAATAATTAAATAATTTTTTTTAATATATATACTTTAGGCATAGATTATGATGTGGCAAATACCTTTTAATATTAATTTATATAAAAAAAATTTATTTTAATTTTATTAATTATTTAATTGAAATCATCATGAAAGTAAAATAAAATAAAATAAAATCAATTCATGGAGTCAGGAATAAAGGAAAATAAAATAGAGATATTTTTTATTCACAAAAAATACAAAATTATGAAGAGGTCCTAAAATTTGGGTGAAATACAATATTGATCCAAAAATATTACTTATGTGAGAATGCTCAAAATGCTCCGTATCTTTCTTTATGGAAATACAAAGATAAGGAATGCGGTCAAAGGGAGCCACGTCCATCTTTAACCTGCCAGCTGCCACCTCCCACCTGTCAGTGCCCGGTGACAAGACAGGAAAGAATGCTCGGCATATTTGTTTGTGGAATTAGAAATTTCTTTTTTCTTTTTGCCAAGCAAAAGACAACCTTGAAATGGATCTTTTAAATTTAATATCCTATCTTCAAGTTTTAATATTTAGATTTAATTAATTAAAATTTTAAGTTTTATTAATTATTTAAAAAATTTTCTTCCTTACATAATTCTCCGTGTTAAAAAAAAAAGATTTCTTTTTTTTTTTTTTACCTTATAAAAAATTAAATAATTATATTTTAAAACAATAAAATACAAAGTAGAGATATCATCCGCAGAACTCTGTTTTTCGGTCGAAAAATTGAAAGGTATAAACAGTATAAAAAAACTAGCTATAGGTTAAGAAAACAAATTCTTCCCCAATATTTCTATGATTTTATATCTTGAATCTTCAAATTCTGTGATTAACAGGAATTATTATAGATGTTCTCAAAGTGGGTGTCCTGTGAAGAAGAGGGTTGAAAGAGATAGAGAAGATCCAACTTATGTGATTACCACTTACAAAGGGATCCATAACCACAGCTCTCCTGAGTGTTTAATGTTTCCTCAGGTTTGAGTTCTTCCACTAGTTAGTCTAGTCTTTATATAGAAACTCCTGCAAAATTTTTGCAGCAAAAAACCAACATCAGCATAGTTGATATGATACAGAGTTTTGAAAAATAATAATGTTTTTATTTTCTTGTATAATGAAAGAACAGAGAGTGATACAATGAAAAGTATTACAGGAAATGACTAGTACATGGTTTTGCCTTTGCTAGCTTCAATGCATTCAAACATGTTCGGTAACAGTTGACTGACAGTAAGTTTTACTCCCCATTATAGTTGATTTTCTATGTAGCACGAACTATCTTGCTCAAGCTAAACTGATTAACACTTAAGAAATGATTTGAATTTGAAAGAATAACAATTGGTTGCATAAAAAAAATAATAAATGGATTTAAGAATGAAAAGTATTTTCACATTTAATTTGAACCTTAAGGTGCATTTTGTTAAATATTTTTTTCTAAATAATTGTAATGTACCAATTTTAGGATGCAATGTGAGATGTACACATTTTAGGCCTTTTTTCCATCCTTTATTTAGGCTTCTCCCTTGCCCTCTCATCATCTTGCAAAAAATACCAAGAACCGTATCAAATCGGGGTTGTGTCAAGTTAATGCTCTCTCTCCTACAAAAATAAAGGTAAACTTCACATAAATATGGACGAACTAGCTCTATGATTTTTTTCTTCCTGGTTTACCGCTATGTTTTGAAGCTTAACCTCATGATCTACATAGTGAAAAGAATTTATGCAAAAATTCAGTGTCCGGGGGCTCCCTCTTTTTTCTTCTCTCCACAATTTGCTTTGATCTTGCTCTTCTCTCTTGAAGTTTTGTTTTATTCCACTCTTTGTCCAGCGAAAACACTACAATTGAGTTTCTGGTTTTTCTAGCTTCTATATAGGTTTTTTTTGAAGTTTTCTTTTGTTAATCCTGTTTGGTGTCCTTTCCAAGGGCATTGTTGGTTCGTTGTTCTCAAATGTGGCCTTTTTTTTTTTTTTTTGTTAGCAAAAGTGATTTTTTTCCCTATTAAGTTGGTTTGTTGTGTTATTCTCCCTTTCCTTTTGATCTGAGTTTCCTCCTTTTTTTGCTTTATTACGTTAGTCTCCATAATTGTACTGGAAATTATTGTTTTTTTGGGCTTAATACTTTTAAAAATTTTTCTTTTTGATCAGATCACATGTAACTCAGAGTGTAAAAATGGGATTTATAGATTAATTTTTGAGTTTTTTTTTAATAATTTTAAATTTTGAAAAGTATTAATCAGAAATAAAAATTTTACCATAAAAAATAATAACGTCTAATGTGCACATAGAGGCCTTCCAGGTTTGCTTCATTTGATTTTCCCTCAACTTCCTATAATAGAAATTAAGTATCAGCAAGCTCCAGGACTTGGATTAACCTGGAAACAAGTATTTTCTTATATACTCCTAATTAATTATTTAGTAATTAATTTCTTAAAAAAGTAATTCATCGTTATTTGTTCTTTTGGATATACTCCTAATTATTTAGTAATTTATTTGAAATTTTGTATACAATTTTTTTCTCAACTGTCATTTTGGTAAAAAAAAAAAAAATACAGGAAAAATTAATTGTAGAAAAAATACAGTATCGGAGGTATGGGCTAAGTTGGAAGATGGCCAGAAATTTTCAATAGGTTGCCAATTGCCAGAGAATTTCTTCGGCATTGTAATGTTAGGCAAAATGGACTGCCAAACCTAGGCCTAGTTCCTCACCTATATGCAGATACAGATACATATATATCCTCTCTCTTAGGTTATATGGTACCTTTCTTTTCTTTATTTACTTTTATTGATAGGTGGATTCAATGGAGAAGCAGAAGATGGACGGGGTGGTCAAAAGCGAGCCAGTTGTTGAGTCTCATGATGGTGGCTATGAAATGAAATTTTATGGGCCAATGCATGATGATGATGGGAGCATCAAGAAAAAGAAAAGTCGGGGTAATATCGGTGGTGTTTGCTGTCAGGTTGCTTCTTGCCCTGCTGATCTTACGGAGGATAAGACGTATTTCGGGAGGCATAAAGTGTGCGAATATCATGCAAAGGCTGCGGTTGTGACTTTGAATGGGCTGCAACAGGGGTTTTGTCAACAATGTAGCAGGTTTTTCTGCTTACCTTTCATTTTCCCCTTGGCATTAATGTTTTATATATGTTGCTATCTCTGAGTTCGTGCAATTTCTTTGTTAATACAAAGCTCGAATTGGGTTCTTAGGTACAGTAACTGTGTGATGCTGTTTCTTATCTTCTTGCTTTAAATCGACTGTTTTAATTTGTTTCTATTTTTCAAAATTTTCCTTGGATATCTTTTCCTCTATGTTTTCCATAAGGCAGAAGAAGGTTAGTGTTAATGATTCATGAACAACCCTTCTTTCTTTCACCCTCTTATACTCGATTTCATTTAAGCAAGACTGCAAGAGTTGCGTGAATTCTCAACTCTTTTTTGTAATGCTGGCTAGTTCATGTATCAAGATTCTATATATGTCGTTTTTCAATGTCTAAATTTATCCATGAAGACACGTTGAGAGTTCCTTTCCTAGCTAGCTACCATTTTATCAAATTATTATAATGTGGGATTATGTAATGTAGATTCCATGAGCTGAGTGAATTTGATGATATTAAAAGATCGTGTCGTAGGCGTTTGCTTGGGCTCGATGGGCGACAAAGGAATACTGCAAGTGTATTTCGTGCAGAAAGCCTAAGCCACAAAGCAACAGGTACGTACTCGGTTGAAGGATAGGCAGGTTGATGATCATAGAGGAAGAAATAAGCCGACTAACTAGGAATGGCAATATGGGCTGGTAATGGTACGGTTGAGATGGCTAGTGCACAAGCACTCCTCCTTCACTGGCTTCTTCCGTTTTTCTTTTAATTTTTTCTTCTATTTTTTAAATATGGTTATCCATTCATAAGTGAAGTTGAGTTTTTAGGTGTTTCGTGTTCCTCAAATGTTGATGATTTAATCAATGTGCAATTTATTATGCTAAATGACTGAAATTTAGTTGATTATAGCAAGTGTGTCCTAGCTTTGCAATTGCTTTGATGTACATAAATGAGGGATTGATTAGCCTTGCCTTCCGAAATCCATACTCAACTGTACCAACCTCTTAGGATTCGAGGCTTTGGGCTTTTAACCATTAAAATATCCCTAAAAGACTTGCATCTTGATGAAATATATGCCCTTTGGTGTTAATGTCATATTTTCTTGTATACCATGTCTTTCTGCTAACATTTCTCACGTTGAACATGAAGCAGCCATGCCAGAACCCCAGAAGAGATCTGAGCATCTTTGTGAGAGCAAAATATATGAGCAACATGATACCAGATCAAGCAAAGTTAGTATTTTCAAGTTCCATTTTCATTTTTTGTGGATGCAGTATAGTTAGCATTCATACTGTTGGATAAGAAACATGATGCCCTGATGTAGTTATAGGCTTTGTATATTTGGTCTACATTATATATATCCATGCATCTTCTATTTTTCTACTTTTAATACTCACCATGATTAATTAGGTGTATCTGAGTTTTTGATCAAAACTATAAGATTTATTAATAATAATCAGATATTACAATAAGAAATTCCATGAAAGTTATACAGGCAAAGAAGAGGAATCAAATCTAGTTCGATAGCTCTAATAACAGAAGAAATATGCCCATACCAATTCAGACAATTAGGTAAATCGGAGTTAAGTTGTCTTTAATCTCAAATTTAAATTAGACAATTAAATAGTTTTTTTTAAAATAATTGTACTGGACCAATTTTTAATCTCCAATTTAAATATTTAATGTTTCAAAAATAATATATAATCATTGTAAAATTACTAACATAATATAATTATTATATAATTTATTTTTTATTTCAATATTTATTTACAATATTATATGTATTTATTTGTGATGTAATCATTTTGAAATCTTCATAAAATTTCTTTTTATTATGTGTGCAAATTTACATATTTCCAGTCAACCGTCTGACCCATAACGATTATCATACACCGATCGTAGCCAGCGTGATTGACCTTTTTCATACCTTATCTTTTGAAAATAGGTAATGGCTTTGTTATACCTTATCATTTTTGCCTTTCTGCAGGAAGCTACAAGCGAGGTCGTACAGGCTGCAATGGGCTTACCACCGGCTGATTATATTCAACAACCGGAAGGTTTATTTCAATTTGAACAAGATGGCGATGGAAAAGGAGAAACAAAGAAGGTGAAGGTTCGAGGGATGGCTGAAGTCTTCCAACAATCAAATCAAAGTGGTCATAAGCCTGTTTGGACTCCCATTAAGAGATCAGAAGCAAACAGAGGCGGACAAGTAATACAATTTCTTTTCGTTGATTATAATCATCTTCCACGATTTTTTTCTCTAATTTTTGTATATTTATATATATTTCTGCAAATGTAGGTCCCTACCGCTACCACTAAATTTATGCCGGTGAATCCATCTGAATTCCGAAAAATGCTGGAGTTTAATGGACAGGTGACAAATGTTCTCTCTTTACTTAATAAAAAAAATCTAAAAAAATATAAATTGCATTACATTATACAACTTAAATCATTAAATAAAGTGAGTTCCCTAATATTGGAGCTGTTCCCCTTCCAATGATTCTACCGATATTGGGTGCTGTCTCCATCTGATGCTTTTGTTTTTAGTTTGGGAGCAAAACAACAATTTAGAAATCAAGAAACTGTAAACTCTAGTCATTAATTTAACTTAGGAGAGGAGGCTAGGGCTTACGGTTAGAACTGAAAAACAGCCTTAGTGTTCCTACAGCATCCTTTCCTTCAACGAAGTCAACCATGGCTTCCTCCCTCCCTGTTATATTTTGGGACACGACGGTCTACGATCCATGTTCCATTTTTTCACCAACGAAAAAGTTTTTTCTTTATTTCCTTTATCCATCCTGTATTTCTTCCTTAAAATTAAGTAGTTAATTTATTTAAAATAAGATTTTGTTAAAAAGTAGAACATTTTAACAACTAAGATAGTAAAAAAATTTAAATATAAGATTTGTTAAGAATATTCAAATAATTTTATAAATAATTTTGATATTTTATATTTTAAGATGTCTTAATTTTCTTTTTGATCTCTATAAATAAAAATATTTTTTTTCTATTTAAGCTTTGATT